CCCCTGTTGAAGAAATAAGGAAAACTTACCTGAAAAATTTTAAAAAAAGGATTTTTTTAAATATTTTTTTTTTTTTTTTTTTTTTTTTTTTACATAAAATGCCAAAATGTTGAACATTTTTTAGTCAAAAAGCTACATTTACTGAAGTGATTATATGTGTATGTGTAAGTCTGTAATGGGCTTTTTAACTCGGAGCAGTAGGTCATTAAAGTTTACATAAAATCAGTCTCAGTAGCAAACCAATAACCCTCTTCTGATCTCTCTCTAGTCAACGCCGAGACTGAAAACAAAACCGCTGAGCTATCAACAGCAGACCAAAGCTTGGGGATCCCAGCGGAAACAAACTCCACACTGGCTAATGTCTTTACCAGGTATCAAGGATAGAGGTAAGAAAAACTGAATATTGAGGAGGGAAAACAGAAGAACAGAAGGAAATGGGGCAGAAGTAAGAAGAGTGGGTGAAAGACAGGAAACACAACCCTAGAAGGGGGTCATAGGGCTCAGACAGCAGGGCATGTATGTAGAGTTTGCACTCTAGAAACCCTCCATCCCACCCACTCCATGACTGAGACAATCCAGGAAGGAGACCCCACATTACCAACATTCAACCCCTTCCTCTCAATACATCACGACTTCCTTATTTCAACCCCAGATTCTCCAGAATCGACCTTTCAGACAAGGAAAAGCTACAAGAATATTCAAATAACGAAGGTTACAAGTTTTGAAACCTGTTTTCTGTGTAAAATCAATCTAAAGTGCTGAAATAACTATCAATTATGTGTATTTTATATATAATATAAAGTACAGTATGTTGTATTTTTCTGAAGAGAGGTTTTGTTGTGCTGCTGCATGTTTGACATAAGCTGAAAAAGTGTGTGTGTGTGTGTGTGTGTGTGTGCGTGTGGGTGTGGAGCTAGCTAAATGTTATCTGAGATTTTTTGTGCCACAGTGTGAGCGGGGTTGGGCATTTTGAATATTATTGTTATTTTAGTTTGTTTTCATTTACAAAAAACTATTTATTTTTCATCTTTACCTGCACAACAATGGGCTGAACAGATGATAAACACAAAAGGCATCTCACAAGTTTGCCTGATTGAAACAAAAAAGTGCATAATAGTCCACATTTTTGGGTTAATTATCTTTTGTTTGTGTGTCTGTATATTCCCAAACAGAAAATGACAAAAATATTTCTCTATTTGGCTGTACCAATATTTACTTTTCAGTGAAAGTCTCCTTATCTTTGTGGTCCTTCTTACCATCAGATTACATTAAAAGCAAGAAAAATATGATGTGATAAAAGATGAACATATTTTTCATGTCTGAATCCTTTTTCAAATGCCTTCCATTGGTTAAAAAGCCGGTGAACCAAATGCTAATCAATTTCTTTGAATTGCGGTGGAGGGCTGTACAAAATCCCTCTGGACACCACTGACTTAGAGGAACTGTGTAAATATGGTCACTCATTTGAATTCCTCATCAAAAAAACCAATCACTTCCTGACTGATTATGAAAAATCAAATTTGAGAAAGGGTTTAGTCAAGGCCTTTGAAGTCAACATTATGCCAGTGAGCACAAGTTTAATTTGATTTTCTTTTTGGGCGCAATCAAAGCATTGTTCATGATCATCAGTCAGTCAAAAACAAAGTTCATTTCTAATCGTTCCCTCCACCCACGACGATGAGAAAAAAAAGAAAAAGAAAAAGAAAAAGGAGAAACAAAAAGGAGCAGCCGCTCTTTGCCAGACGTTCACCCCGGTTGCTCTTCGCCACAGCTGGCAGAGTGAGTGGAAGGGTTAACTGTCAGGAGTCGGGGCGGTAAGTGAAGACAGAACAGCACGGCAAAAAGGAAAAGTGAGAAAAAGAGATATTGCACATGCCCTGGTCGTGATTCATTCCTCTACTTGTGGTGAGGACCAAAGAACAGGCAATGGAAACTTCAGCAAATGTAAATACGCTTTGGTTAAAAATATAGTGGCCTAATGCGCACCACATGTTGCTTTCTGGCAAGTCCTGCTCTATTTTGACGGGAAGAAAGACTTGAAAAAACACAACGGAGAAGGAGAAGGAGAAGGGTAGAGACATTTGAAAGAGACATTAGAGGAAGGGGGGAAATTAAAATGCAGGGAACACACAGTCTGGGGAAGGTTCGCGTCCAGTTTTACCCTGTGCCTTCTCCACGAACACCACCTTGGACTCGGGGAGGAAGTTGAGGCCGCCAAGGAGCATCATTTTGCCTCCGGTGGCGGGATAGCTCTCCACACTTTGTTTCTCCACCAAGGGAAGCTCCTGAGCTGAGCGCTGAGCTACAGAGACACACACACACACGCACACACACCTTTCAGTATTGAGTTCAAGTCCATGTGAACACACTTGCAGATCACAATCTACGCCGAGAAGAGCATGACCAGGACACGGCCTGTAAAACAGCAGCTTTTCATTAAGAAAACCGGCTTATCAAATTTATTCCGATGATTTCATGACCTCTTGCGAAGAGGTTTTCAGCCAACACGTTGTTTTTTTTTTTTTTTTTTTTTTTAAAAAGGCGTAGAATAATTCAGAAGAATACGTTCACGGTCAGATCTTCGCTTCATTATTTCCATCCAGCAGCCTGTGGCCAACCACCTGTCTCTGCTTTCACTGAAATGAGGCGAGCCGGGGGTACCTCTGACCTCTGGAATACACCGACGGGAATCACAGCCAGCCGATTGAACCGAGCGCTAATTATCACGTAGATGTGGGTTTGGCTTAGGAATTAATTTATTTTTTTAGATATTAAGGCCCCAAGCCCCCAAACTGCTCAGGGATGAGATTGCGTTGGATGCCCAACCGTGAGCTGTAACGTCAGCGGCGTCTCCTGCCGTCTTGCTTTGATTAGCTTCGGGTGCTGAGCGCATCACACGTAAAGGCAGGAGTGAATGACGAAGAAACAGAAGTTCCTCACAATGAAATCATTCAACTGCGCCAAAACTGGGGCTGGCAAGTGACCTTTGAGGGACCTTCACTAATGGGGAGCTTTTACCACAACGACTTGGGCATTCATAAAATGTTAATTCGATAAAAGTAACATGTGTTTGGCACGATGAACAATGCATCTTTTTTTTTTTCCCCCCTCCTCAGTGAATTCCTTTGATTGTATAAACCTTATTGGGTCCAGAGGTACTGAATTTGTTCCAGTAGGTAATAAAATAATGGCTCGTTTTATTGCATTGCAACAATAGATCCCACTTTTTTCTTAAGTGGAAAGCTATTGGAAGAGATTTCTTTGTTTGTTTCTGTGTGTGTGTGTGTGTGTGTGTGTGTGTGTGTGTGTGTGTGTGTGTGTGTTAACATCTCGGACTTACAGCATTCAATGGGGTTGGAGGCGACTTGTAGGGACACCGTCCTGCCATTGGGCTGGTTGATGTGCACACGGAACACCAAACGCACGCGGGTGTTTTTCCGACCGATGTCCGTCTCCCCTTTGCGCAGTTCAATGTCAGAATTGCGCAGCTTCAGGATTCCTGCGCAGTCAATTCTAGAGGAGAGGGAAGAGGGCGGAGAGCAATTCTGAGTATCAATTAATGCGCTTTGCTGTCAGTATGGATGCATGAGCTTCACTAGTTTTTATTTTTCTTCTCTTCGGGCTCTTGTGGATGCAGAATTTTGCACTTTTTAAATGATCAGACCCCTTGGCCCCAGACAGTTTACCGTGTTACAACCACGAACCTCAGTGTGTTTTACTGGCATTTTATTTGACAGACCAACTCAAAGTAGCACATAGAATAAAGTAAAGCGACATATGGTTTCCACATTTTTCACAAATACAAAAAAAAGAGACCTCTATTTGCTATCCTAAATACTTTATTGAACTATTACAAAGCCAAGTACAAAGTTTCACCAATATGATGTCTCAAATATTGGTTATTCTTATTTTAAAAGGTCACAGAGATTGGATGAAGACCATTTCACATCAATTTTCAAGTCTTGCCACAGACAACAATGACTGGATAAACGTCTGGACTTTAACTAGGCCGTTTCAACTCTTAAAGTGCTTCGGCGTAAACCATCCCATTTTAGTTCCAGCTTCAGGGTTTGTGTTGTGTTTAGCTCAATCCGTCTTTCCATCAACTCCAAGCGTTGCTGTTGTTGGTAAAGACAATGAACCATGTGGAATGATGCTGCCACCACCATGTTTTACAGTGGAAAATGACATTTTCAGTGACAATGTATAGTGTTAGCTTTCCACCATACTTGGCATTTTCTACATAGGCCAACATACCCTAAGATCTTGTCCTTTTCCTTACATTTTTGGTCGGTGATGGAAAATCCCAATAAAGAACACACAAGTTAATGGCTCTAATGTGACACAATGTGGAAAAAGTACAAAGAGTGTGAAAATTTTTGAAAAAAACCTCTTCAGCAGCAGATGAAATGTAATAAAATTATTAATTTAGAGCTATTTTCATACTATAAGGTAATTTTGCCATTAGAGTTTCAATATATTTCCTTGGTTTATCTAATGTTCTAAGCATTGATGGGGAGATTATCCTCAGAAGCTAGTATCCCTTTTGTCCTTTCAGGCCATTGAATTCATTCATTCTGCATATAAACTGTTGTTAATCATTTCCACATGCAGCAGCAGACCATTCCCTCAGCTGTCTGTCTATATTTATTTCATTTTACAATTTGGGAGGTAAAGAGCTAAAGTTTCTCCCCTTCTTTTTGGAAGGGGAAAAAAAAAAGTTTTCTTGCCGCCATTTATAAATTGAAATATAACTAATCCGGCTGGTAAAAAGGGAGGGAAAGCAAATGGGATATGCTCTGGCATTTTACTTGTGTTAAGTGGTACATTTTCGGGCAGTACTCCTGGAACATGGCAAATGTCAGGGTTTGCACTACCTTTTTTTTCCCCGTGCTTTTGGTTTGTACAAAACGAACAAGGAAAAAACTGAAATGAGGAGTCTAGACAACCGCTACTTATCAGATTTACACAATCTGGTGCTCGTTACCATGTAGCATCAGCCCCAGCATTAAAATCAAGTGTCTTTTCCTTTGCTTATAGAAACTAATGAGGAAATTACAACTTAACTAATCAAATAGAAATTAAGAGAAAGCATAAAAGCAACTACAAATCCTCACAAAAACAAACAAAAAACAAAGCGGACAATATCTCCCAGTTTTCGGATTAAGTTGAAGCTGCGTTGGTTAGGTTAGCTTTTGTGTACCAGCAGACTGTCTTTTGTTTTTTGTTTAGTTTTTTTTTTCAAGAGGAAAGGAGGAAAACCGAAGCTGTCTGAAATTGCAGCTTGCTACCTTCTGCATCCCACACAACAAGCAAATTATCGCCGGCAGATATATATAAAAAAAAAAAAGCTGTCTGATCGAGGTGGCTGGTAAACATCTCAGTGGAAAAAGGCAGTTAAAGGCCTTTCTTTATGTCTGTCAGAGGAAAGCAGAGGAAACTTTCACTCCTCTGCTTTCGGCCTGAGTGTGAACGTCAAAGAGGAAAATAAACTTCCTCTTCAGAAGCCGTTTTTTTGTGTGTGTTCTTACTTGATTGTTAATCAAACCAGAGGAGACACATTAACTCGAACAAATAAGCAGTGCACGGAAGTGTGTGAGTTTGAGAAGGATATTGTGGTTCTGTTGGACATGACACGTGGAACTAACACCAAAAAATGCTTGAAGCATTAAACTACCTGTCCTTGTTTTTTTTCCAACATGTTTTTAGAAGAAAAGAACATGTAAGTGGCAAAGGATAAATATAATGCAGAGTAGAGTAATGACCTTATTTAACGTCCGATCCAGTGGGTTATCCCTAACACAGGGTTCTGGGAACAAGTCCAAAACATATTCCCTGCTGCCTTGTCTGAAAGGAGCCTCTGGAAACGAGCTGCTTCCTGGACACAACGTCGAGTTCTGCTTTGACTTCCTCCCATGTCCAAAAACGAGGATGTCTGACTCAAAGATGTCCACAGAAGAGTGTCCATCTCCAACAAGTTCTAACGTTTAGAAGGCCATTTTCACTAACACTTCACGTTTGTAAGTGGTAAGTAGTATGCATGCAAAAGAAGGCTCTTATCTCTATTTCTTTTCTTTCTTTTTGATTTTGTGCAGACAACACACCGTGAAATTAGTTGATGAGTGGAATCAGTTCACTTCACTCTTGATCCGTCCTGATCGGAAACTAAGAATCAGAGCATCGGTGCAGTCAGTGGAAGAAAATAAAAGATTCCAGAAGCACAGTGTTTTTCTTTGTCTGGACATCTCTGTGGTGTATTCAGGTTGCTAGTGAATCAGATAATCATAAACAGAAAGCTGAACGCATAATAATAGCGTGTTGTTTTTTCACAGTTATGATAAATCACACCAGAAAATACATACAGAAACTGGTGTTTATAACCAAGCTAATTTTTTAATTTTAGCTCAAAATAGTCACCTTGTAATTAACGTGAGGTGTAATATTTATAAAATACAGTTTAACTGCAGAGCTGTGTAATTCTGATTGCTCTCTCTCACACGTAGTAAAACTTTAACTCTGCTTCATATTTAAATAATTAATGGTTACTGCTGAAAGTTTCCTGTAGGCTCCTGTAGAGTTAAGAATAAATGAATGATTTAACAATAACGTAATTGATTTGACATAATGGCAAATCAGAGCGTTTTGCTCTCAAATATTAAGCTTTGACTGTGCCGTCTTGTAAACTGGAGGATTTTACTACGTAGTAGATTTTAGGTTATGAAGAGTTGCTTTACAACTTTTGACTGTTTTAGAGAATTGTTGTTTTTATTTTGCTGTGAATATTCCATCTTTTTCAATTTTGTGAGAAAGTAAATTAAACAAAAAGTGAAATGAGATTTACCTGAAATCTCACATTAGAGTTTTACAAAATGGGTAAATGGAAACTGGTGCAGAAGGTTGTGTCTCAGAATTCACCAACAAGTTTCTTCAGCTTTTTCTGCCACATCTTAAATATATCAGTTTTGCAGCTGTATTTGCTCCACCCCAAAATGCTTTCAAATGTGAAAAAACGAAACACAAAGCAATGAAAGTTGTCATTTAAGAGTACAGCCCACTTTATAATCACTGGTAATATTTGTGAATTTGTTTGAGCAGAAGATGGTTTGACGTGGTAACTGTCGATCAGCTGGTATTTCATTATTGACTTGGATATTACTTAATAAAACATTCAGATTATGAGAATGTATGTGAGGATTTATCCAGTAAAATGTATACTCATTAATTCTTAATACTGCAGTGGTTCTGACAGTAACGGCATGTTAAATGGACAGTATTTTTTTTCCAACACACTTGTTACTTTGGTAAGAATGTTTTGGCACATTTATCTTGCAGTCATATATTAACACACTAGCTGACATTAATGTAGTTGAAGCACTTCATACTGGTGGAATGGTGACTGTATCCTGACCTTTGCAGTGCCTGTTTTTACATGTCGGGCAGAGTTAGTCAACCATGAACTGTGTCGGCCTTAAAAACTGTGCACCTCAAGGGGTTGAGAGGACAGAGGCCTATTTAGAAATATGTGCTATAATGATCACGCGTTGTGTTTGTATGGCTGAGCCATAAAAGACGGCGCCAAATGAAGAAAAAAAACAAAAAAAACAACAAAACCATTGAGTTTTTGTTCCCCATATTTCTTTAAGAAGAAATATGGAGAAAAGGTTGGTTAGCAACAGAGTCTCCAAGCACTCACATGGCTCTCATGTTGTTTTCTGGCAGCAGAGGGATCTCCAGGATCTTGGTGTTGGATTGCATGACTTCGTGGCTGGCAGTGGAGACGGTTTTGCCGGTGATCCGGTGGACCTGGTAGAAGGCATGCGGTCGCAGGAGGCGATCGTCTGCGGTCCCGATGAAAAGCTGCAGGGTGAGCGGCTCACTTTCCATGTAGCCGTAAAGCTGGCGGGGAGAACAAAGAAGCCGAGGTAAGAGGAAAACGCCAGCTGTCAGGACCGTCGCCTGAGGCAGTGTCAAAGATAATGCAAACATCCCTGATGGACTCCAGTAAACTCCTAAATTTCCTGTTTTCACCCAAATATTTTATTGGTGTAATCCAGGCTATGGGTTATGCTTTTCAGTTGCCGCTTCAGTAGTACTACTGTTGAACATGATTTATTCTGACTCATTTTAAGGATTAAAGTGTGCTGGACTGAACTTGTGTAAGTCAACCCAGGCCTGGGTCACTCCATACTGGACCCGGGACCGGGTTTGGAAACAAACCCAAGCTGGGTCGCTTTTAACTTACCACATTTTTCAAGTGAGGAAGGTGGCACTAAAACAACCCCTCTATGCAGTACAGCATCACCTGGCCCCTTCTGCCTTCAGGCAGTTATGAACTTGCATTATGATTTCCATTAAAGCTCAGAGACTGTGTCCCACTGTGATGAAAGAGACTTGTGTATCGGTATCACCACTTCAAACGACTACTGCTTCCTCTCCTACGCCTCCATTAGCTGCTACTGCTCGACTAATAAAAAGATCAAATATTTGTGAAAAGGTGGAGAGAACCTGCTTGGCCACGCACCGATTGAAAATCACTGTTCATTTCAGGGATCCAGAGGTAAAAAACTTTTTTTTTTCACCATCTAGCTAGCGTCAACGTGTCAAAACTGACAATTTAGTGTGACGACAATGTTTTAAAATAGAAATATGGAGACAGTGTTTCAAATTCTTTGGGGGTGGTTCAAAAACAAAGTTTGTGAGTGATTTTTGACTGAGACAATTTACTAACCACATGATTTGGTGAAACTGGAGGTAAATGCCACAGACCTCCCAGGATTTACATTTTCACTGCAGTGCAATGTTCCCAGGTGGTTAGAAGAGTGAATGTTTTGTGTGGTCAGAGATCTCTCACACCTCAGAAGGGCAGCGAAGCTGTACAGTCCATCAGGTACAGTAGACCCAAAAACTAACGAGAGTAGTCTGTCAACATGCGAGCCCCCACGAATCCATGCAGGTAGCACTCTCGGCTGCTTGAAAATATGCTGCGGGAGATGGACTACTCAAGACCGGGGCTTGCAAAAGCCGGGACTCTGACAAAATCCCACAAATTGGTCAATTACCAAGGCATACACCAGTGCTGCCACAGACAAATTTTCTCTGAGCTCCGTCCGAGTGAAAACAGCAGTAACGTCAAATGGAATAAAAAGACCCCAGTTGTTTATCTACTGGAATGACTCATAGAGCAAAATGCAGGCCACATGTAACCTATGACATAATCTGATTAATTGGTTTATAATTACCTTTAACGGGGCAGCCAGACCAGTGGTTGTGAGGAAGAGTGATATGACTGGAGGGCTGTCGTATTTAGGTCTTTGAAAAATTAGGGCTACGATTCCATGGACCTATAATGCTTCTGGTTCAGAAACAAAGTTGTCTGAGAAGGGAAACTTACGCCGACGCTAAGAATAAATGTGTGCTGTCTAAAGTTAATGAGATAGCTTTTGGACAAACGGCAAGTTTGAGTGTGTACCTCTTTCTCTTACCAAGTTTCCAAATTAATCACCTTGAATAAAAGCCATTCAAGTCAAGTATATATCCATATGCGTCGGTGATCTAAGCACCAGATCTTATCTGGTTTTTCTCTCTGATTCACCAATTAAGGAATCGTATAGCAAATAGTAAAGCTGTAGCTGTCAGTCATCTCCGCTTCCAGCTTTTACTTCTCTAGCATCAGTAGTGTCTCTAGCAGCTGTGTCGACCTGTGAGCTAGTCACACATGCTAGTCATCAGTGAGTTAGGCCGAGGTCAGGAGCTTCTTGAAGTCTTGGCATCCCAAGGGGCCACTTCATCTGCGCGGTGATCTCACCGACAGGCCCTGCTCGCCTTGTTATATTTTACTTATAGTGTCACCGGCAGCAATTATGAATACACACACATGCTACCAGTTACCGACGCGTTGACTCGCACGAGGGCCACGGCGACGCGCGAGATGCAAATCTGAAATGTGGGAGCGTTAAATGGCGTGACGTGGTGTTTTGGATTAATGAGACGCGGTGCAGCTGGCCTGCAAATCCGTGCCGTCTGTCACTTTTTCACGTATGGATTTTCATCTTGGGGGTTTGTCAGTGACCTTCAGCCGTTAGCTCAACCGCCACATGGCTGCAGGGTGGCCCAGAAGAGAGGCAGGAAGGAGGGATCAGTTTGAGCTGGGCGGGGAAGGGGCTCTTGTCTTTTCACCCGTCTTGCGGTAAGACACTGTGATTCCGGTATCAGGACTCAGAACCTCATGACCACATGGGGGAGAGGAAGTGATTAATGAGGTCAGATAGTCCTATAGTGACGTTAGCCTACCCGGCAGCTAGAGAAAGCAGTCTAGTCCCCCTGGGCGACCTCTTTCAATTCTTTTTCCATATGTGCTCCTGCTGACCCTCTACCTAAAGTCCTGTCTCTGCTTTTGCCGAACCCCTCTGATGCTCAGTCAGCTGCACATCGCAAGTAGAGTACTTCTTCCTTTTATTTTGAGATGAATTTTTTTGTATTTGTGTCCATTGGCAACTGTGAGGTTGACTTGAGAAGTACTAATTTCAACCAGATGAGATTCTTATGCTTTAATTGCAGCACTATCTGGCAGAGTTGTTGCATAATTATTGTGAGAAAATCTAAACACGGTTTAAATAGCGCTCGCATTTGGAACAGCGTCTGAGAACTTTGTTTTCAGCTAGAGCTAGAATAAAATGCCCTATAAACGTTTTCACATTTTGGTCGTTACAAAAATAAACTTCATTGTGTTTTAACCCACAATGGCAAACCCAAAGGTCAACCATAACCTCAGTCTGTTTTCCAACCTCTAACAGGTTCTCTTCTGTATGCCACTCCTATCATCTTCCCCTCTAATCCTATTAGGTTATTTGTCTATAGACAGGTATGTTGTTCCTACCACCATGGATTATCGCTGAGAATGGTGTGTTCAGGTGATTTTTATTGTTGGTTTTGTACCACACACAATAACTTGCATCCAATGCCAAAAAATTCAGTTTTGGTTTCATTTAATGAAAACACCTACCGAATAAATTGCAGTACAGCTTTTGGGAAAACTGCAAACTCGTGTTCACATAACTTTCTTTCAACAACAGCATTCTGTTTTCTAGACAGGTGAGATCAGAAGGCAGCTGGTTCAACTGAATTTCTTTCAGTGGTCTCAGATTAGGGATGGGTGAAATGTGGAAAAAAAAAATCCTCAAGACTTTTGAGAGACACTGTGTACCTCTCAGCGACATCCGGTTTTGATTGCTCCATTGTCATGCAAAACAGCTGGGGTTAGAGTTAAATATCACACGTTAGCAAATGGAACATTAATTGACTAAGAGTAAACACATGTATAGTCTGTGTCAATCAAAAGAACAAAAAGACATGCTAAAGCTTTTCAGGGCAGGGCATCCTGTATTTTCTTTAGTAATAGTGACATTTAAAGCGCTGCCTGCACCTGGCCTCAGCAGTGAAGATGAAACATTTCAACATGTTAAATGTAATGACTCAGAGCTAAATTAGTTATGTCTGTCCTGGCTGGAAATTGATTGTGAATACACTCCACAGGCGTGCAATGCACTGCCGTCTCTCCCTCTTTAGCGATTCCTTTCATCACCGCCTGGAGAAATGTCATGACTCGTAGAAGTCCACGTGGCACAGAGAATCGGGGGAAGAGGAGTACTGGAAGTAGAAGGGGGTTGGGGAGTGGTAACTGGGGAGAAATGCAGCGGTCGGTTTAAGCTTTTTCCTATTATCCCAGACTCTCCTCTGTCAAGTGCTGACACACGCACGTTGCCAGCCTTCGCTGTACCCAATTAAATATACACTCATCCAAGTTGTCTCTCCTTCCAGACTTTACACCATCGCCTGCCTGGTCTAGTCACATCTCCCGTGCCCCATAATGAAGCAAAGCAACATATGCAATCCTTTAATGTGTTTCGTTTCCATGGAGGCCAATGCCACTCCATTTATAAGCAACCGAGATTCTATAGCCATTACAGTTTTTGTGGAACCGAGTGCTTTAGCGTTATGTCATCAAGGGCTCCGTTTCAAGCAAAAGCCCACGTCTAGACTAGTGCGGGTCCAAATTCCCTATAAAAACAATGGCTTTGTTACCAGAAAAACCTGCCACGAGGAACCTCATCCAACCCTACCAGAGGTTTTTTTTTATAATGGAGATGATGCATTGATGATCACTGCTTCTCCTCCAACCACCCAATAACGCTACGCTCCTGGTCCATGCATCATGAATGTACGGCTTTTCTGGTTATCACTTCAAACTGACGAAAACGATGCACAGCTTTCTGTACTTTTTCCACGTTATTAACTGGTAATTAGTGGTAGCCCAACACCGCTGTAAGGGAAGGAGAACCACAGTTTGCGAGTGGCATAAATAGCCCTTCGGGCTACAAATAATAGTCCTGACTAAGCTCTAACAGCACCACAGGGTAAACCCAAGCCTTTTGAATATCAAACAAGAAGCAGCAGTGGATTTAATGAGCAATTAGCCACTACAGTATAGTTTGCTGTAGATTGGGAGGGGTTTATTTGAGACATTACATAGGCGCAAAGTACCGGATCCCAAGGTGAAACCACACATGCAAAAAAAAAAAAAAAAAAAAAACTCAGCATGTGCTTGATGAGGTCTTTCATGTTGCCATGGCGGAAGCCTATGGCAAATTTCATATACATTAAAGCTGCAGAGCAAAACAGAGATGGGCATTAAGTCATGCCCGTTATAGCTACATCCTGGAGAAATTACAGCACGCCTGTTTTTGCTTTAAGTTTAATGAAAGAGAGTGTGTATGTGCATAGGCCAGTGATTATCCTCTATGAAAAAGTCATAAGGATGACTGCATTGCACACAGCACTCCACAGGTGTTGTTACTTGCCGTTGCCAAGCATTAGACGGGTGTCACTTAGGCTTCACT